ATATACTACATTTTTCCGTTTTAGAAGAATCATTCTGTTCTTGCTCTTTATCACTTTATATTCTAACCTGAATTTCAGTAAAGGTAATCTTTCTGAAAATCTTCCAAATCAAAACTATAATTGCAGGATTTCAAATCTCTCGATATTTCTGAATAAAGCGAGCAGACAAAAACTACAGTTTGGCTGATTTCAAAATCTCTCTAGAACAGCCCCCACACTCTCCTCCTTACTTTCATTTTCTCCACTTATTACTTCCTTCCATGTCTTCTTCCACTACGGAATACAAAAAGTTTCCAACAAAGGTAGGACAAAAAACGGAAACAGCGACACCGTCAGAGTTACGCAAATGTTTGTATCACACTGACTCGAACGACGTAACTTGTTAAGTGACAAAAATAGCTGTCAGACCAGTTTCGTATGTAGCTGTGTGGATTTGTCTCATTTCGAATTGTGAAGATCGTATTACTCACAGTAAATTCCGACAGTTTTTCAAAGCGAGAGTAGTTTTCAAAAAAGGCATTTAACAAATTAATAGATTTTATCTGTCCACTCCTATATTGTGTTATTTGTATAGCTCTTGGATCTTAAGTCTGTCGAGTGAAATGTTTTTGCAATCTTAGCGTTTGACGTAACATTCTATCAGATTCATTGCTTAACGTTTTTCGCTATTTCCATCTCGATGCTTCCTAGTTTGCATTTTGAGCCATCTATTTTTGTTAGGTTAAGCACTTCTAAAGCATTGAATAGTCTAATTGATTAAGGAAGGAAATATGCATAGTATCACAGAGTTGGTATACTTTCAATAGATCAGTTATGTGTTCGATGATGTGGAAGAAAACTTTTATTAATGATTATAACTGTATTGTAAGCAATCTTGACACTTTTAATCGTAGTAACATTTTTTCAAACATCAGTTTCACTAACAAATGATAAGGTAGAGAAAATCAAAATATCAATTCTAATGTATATTTTGTGGACAATAGATTAATTTCTTATCTTTATTTCAGGATTTTCTATAAGTTCTGTAATCGGTAAGGGTACTCTGTTGAATTTCCTCCAGGAAAACTGATGTTAGGAGAGCAAATTCGTCAAGGATTCAGCCCTCTATTAGCTGTTCTTACATCAGATGCTGTGGAACGTATCGCTGCTAAGAATAATCTTAGCTTCACCGATTTACTTTTACCATTTGCCACTGTCAATTGCACATTAAAGGTTACTTTTTAATTATGTTTTCACAAATTAAATTGCTACAATAAAGTTTAAGATACTGAAGATGAACTCAAGATGCTGAAGATACTAAGGATAATTCCTGGATCCTAAAAACTACCTGAGATAGATACTAAAGATGAATTAAAATCAGGAATAGCTGAATTATCAATGGTTATTAACAGTTTGAGCAGCTTTCAACATATTGTGACAGTAAATTATCATCCCTCTAATTAAATCTTGGTATCACCTTTCCAGTTCTTTTCACATGTTGGAGAATATAAATCGTAGATAATATGAAATTATCAATAATTTGGCGAACGGATAAAAAAACTGTGTAATAGATATCAGCAAACCTTATCATCTTTTCAGTATGGCCTGCACTACATGGTATTATGAAAGCAGTCTTAAAAAAGTTAAACTAGTAAGTAGTGAGGGAAAATATAACCGATTAGTGAAATAGATTATCAGGTAGAATCTACAGTGTAAAGTTATTGTCAATATGGAGTAGATGAGGCAGAAAGATCCGCAATACCTTTATATGAATTGAAGAAACTTGAGATGAAGCAGATGGTCGAGGAAAGCAGACTTTTTCCTTTAATATCAATATATTCTACAGTTAGAAACATCTTTTTACTTCCAAAACAGTGATTCTCAATATTGTGTGGAATAGCTCTATCTAAAGTTCTACTGCTTCCGGAGTACAAAACAATTGCGGCATCTTTAAATTATTTTATGATTGGGAAGCAGTGAGATTTTAGTCTGGATTATGTTAATCTATGAAGAGTTTTTCTAGATAGTTTTCCGGGCATATTTTCCGCTAGGAATTATAACTGAAAAATTTGTCTTTTTCTCAAATCTTACATTTTCATTTCAAAGTGTAAAATTTGAGAAAAGAAAATTTCAGGATCCATCGGGCTCATCGGTAACATCACGCATATTCTTTGACTTTCGAGATCTTCAGCGAGATGGATTTCTTCTAAGTTTAACTGTTTTACCTTCCGTTTTACATGAAACTGCGTCGTCGGTTGCATCGACATCGGATTCCGACCCCGAACTTGCTTCCATTGCTTTCAGGCTTGTTCTGCTGCATGGTTTTATTATTTCGATTAAATTCTTAAAGCACATTTTCGTATAAGTGATGGAAATTCATATTTTTCCATTATTGGAAATTCATATCCTTATAAATGAAATTCATATTTATCTGTATTTCCATTATTTTTATAATTCACCCAATAGATATGTAGCTCGCCGAACAGTATTTTTCCAGTAGACTAGTAGATTCAATTTGAATTGTTGCAGTGAAACTTTACTGAAATGGTCCGAACCGGCAGAGCATGAATATCTTCGAACTTATCTTGGTTGTGTGTTTGTCGTGTCTACCGAAGACGAGGATCCTGTAGAAGAATTATCGAGATTGATTGATATTCAATATCAGCAACAGGTACGTCACTGTTATTTTGGTATTTATTGGAAGAATGAGTAGGAAATAAACGAATTGAGTAACACATAATCTTTTGCGTTAGTGGTGTCAAGAAGCTTGATGGTGTCAAGCACGATTTTCGAATTGTCAGGGGTGTTACTGGTTGTTTTCACGAATTCCTGAATTAAACACTGTAATCCAAATATTATCGAGGAAAAACTGCATGTTTGATGTTCTTGCAGTATTTGTGGTTTATATGCAGTAAACTTATTCATTCAGTTCTCGTACATAAAAGATGTTTTTACTTCATTACCTTTATTTTTATGTACCTCTCAATCACAAATATGGATGAAGGTACCCATTGTTAATGTTCATGTTAGAAGTGGTAGATCATAAGGCAGCTCTGCCTTTAATTTTTTTATTTCAAAATATCTCATTATATCGTTCAGTTTTAAAGAAATTTAAATGAATTATTTAATTATGTTCGAATTGCTTTTCAGAAGTTATATTTTGATCACTAATGAGCCATAAAAGATATTAATTTAGAAGCAGATTTGTTTTTTCTTCATTTTTACTGATATCTTCTTCATCGCTTCTTTCTTCTTCACTCATAGTCTTCCCTAATAAATTGATACGGATTAAGTTTTTATGTTTTTATGATATATTTTTATGGACATATTTAACAGCTAGTTTTTAACTACTAATGACAGCTAGTTTACGATTCGATGGCATCATGGACCCATGATGCCATATGAGTAAACAAATCCTTCTGAATGAATGTAAATAAATTTCGTGGATGACTCGTCATTACATTATCACATTATATGGTTGTATATGGGTTTGTATATGTAGTTCAGCCCTTGCACACAGCAAAAGTGCAAAATGAAAGTGAAATCGATAGTTCAATAATCATGATTCGATCCATTCTTTCTCTTTTGCAGCGAACTAGTTTGTGTGTCCCGCTTTGTAGGCATCTCTATTTTGTCTCCACAAGGTTTATGTGTATATATTCGCTGCCTGTGGGATATAAATGTGGCGCTGCTGATTTGTTTTTCTGTAGTATCGCACTAAATTCAAAAATGAAAAAGTTTTTGAGTTTAACTTTATCCAACTTCCATTGAACATTTTCTGTACAATCCAGTTTATCCATAAGAGATGTTCCAAAATATCTTTATCATATTAGTAGTTTGTATAATAAAATGTACAAGCTGGAGTTTTTGACCCCGGACGAAGTCACAAAAGAATCGGGTGAAAAATTAGGTGCATTAAAGATACTGTGAACATTTTGAGGAAAAGGTGGATCAGCAGTTAGATGAATGAAAAGAAGTTATTATCGCATTAACTGTCAAATTCTATTTAAAGTTTGGGATCCGAGCTATTAGGCACCGAAGCCATATTCAAAATGTTAGGCGCCTCATTTCGAGTTGACATGTATTGTAAAACAATACTTTTGTTGTTTTTTCTGCATTTTTTCTACACATCATTTTTGATTCTTGTATTAATCGCATCCTCTATCGATCTCTCTCTCTAGATCTTGAGTAGAGACGAGCAGTGATGTTCCAAAGTATTGGCTCTAACCTAGAGTGAGTTATGAAAGCCTTGCACTCTTATAATAATAATAAGTGGATATAATTCTTATAGCTGAAAGGTTCCATGGGTTAGAAAACTTTTTAACACTGTATTTTTAACGTAATTTTGTTGTAGTGTGGACAAAATGCCTTTGCTATTGGGCCAGCATATTGTGTAATGCCCAAATGGATGCTTTCAAATATTTTCAAATATTTCGTAATTGTAGACGACGAGTCATCAGGAAATAGGTCGTCGAGGTGATCGGTTGTTTTTCCATTCCTGAAGTTTGTTTTTGCTGGGAGTTACTTTAGTAGTAGTTTGGTCCGATTTGAGAATGCACTAGAGAAGTTTGTATCAGTAAAATCAGTAACGTCATTAGCACATTTGTTGTCTCAGTTCCTCATAAAATATTTGGTGTCCGAATTGTAAATTTTAATAAAGAAAAAATGTATTTTCATTTTTTTAGGGCGCCTTCAGTGTTTTCAGCAATTACTACGCAGTTTGGTGCTCAGAATTGTTATTTGCTCAAAGTGAATTCAAAATATGATGATGAATTAACGGATCCATGGCGTGTGCATTTGGAATCGAAATATCGTGGATTGAAAAAAGGATTACAACTTGCTAAGCATAAAGTTCTCACAAAAACGATGGGATTAACTGATGGCGTGGTACGTTTTCATTTTTTTTCTTTCTGTGAGTAAACTGTATATGTTTCACACCAAGCAGTTTAATTGCGCATTTTCAATAGAAAGGAACTTTGGTTGCTTACTACTTTAACAGTAATTTTGAAATTGATTGTCCTTACTGTCAAACACCACACTGTAAATAACCACTGAAATGCACAATATCTTAGTATGAAACATATATTAATTTGCTCACAGAATGTGTTAGCTTTGTAGAATTTTTCTGGTTCTCTGTAACGTATATATGTTTCAGGTAGTCGAGTCATTTATATGAGGTTACATAAACATATGTGTGTAAAAATGCAAAAGTTCCATTAACCACTTACAGTATTCGAAACTCTTTGTCAGTCATAGTTCTGCGTCATATTTCCGAAAAAAATTTTCAGATCTCATCAACCACTGAATCATCTCTAATAGGACAGAATAATGGTGGTCTTCCCAGTTTTGGTAGTGTCTCTGCTGTACCTCATGGACAATATCTTAGCTATGATGATCGTGAAAGTATCACAAAAATGATGGAGTGCATGGTTCATAATGCTCTACTACCTTGGGTTGAACGACAAATGCGCACTCTCAATGAACAAGTCATCGCGCGTCGTGGGATAAGCAAGTCGTTGACTACCGGGGTACGAAAGTGGTTTGGAGCAGCAGCTGCTCAACAGACTACATCAATAACGTATGAAAATCTATGAAAATCTCTTGATTACAGTTTTCCATTGTATAATTGTGGTTTTAGTCTCATTAGTTTCAAACTGTTATTCTTCTTTTTAAACCAGTTCTAGTTTCTGTTTATTCAATGCTAGAGGTTTTCTAATCTCTCTCATACGTAGTTCAGTTTTTTCCTGTCATACTGGATTCTTAAATTCTTTTTTCCACTCAGATAAGGAGATGCAAATGTTTCATTTAAATGGAGAATACGAATAATCTTAATTTTTAATTTTAGTTATGCACATGATAGTGGCGAAATGCAAATTAGATTATTAGCCGATCTTTGTTTTATTTTTGGACTTTATTCTTATGCATATCAACTTTATCAAACGGTTCGAAAAGAATTTGCTGTTGATCAGGCTTGGTTATACAATGCTGGAGCACTTGTGAGTACCAGTTGCTTTTGTGAGAAAATTCCGAACCAATTAGAAATTAGTTTAAAATGTTTCGGCAATAAAGGATTAGAAGTATTCATAAAAAAGAATTAAATTATCGTTTTCTTTCAGGAAATGGCAGCATTGAGCTTATTTTTAAGTGCATCTCAAATTACTGCAAAGCAATATCCACAGCATTACATGGATGATGCCATCAACTTTTATGCAACAGTCAGCCTGTAATTGTTAAAAATTTCTGGAATTTAGCAAAATTAATCCATGAAGATTTAGACTTACATTTAACACTTTAAAAGGCATTGCGAGAGGGAGAATGAGGAAGTAGAAGAAGAAAATGGATTGGGGAAAGAAAGTGGGAAGAAATCGAACGTAACAAACTTAACAAAATTTTCAAAGATAACCATGCAACACTTTTAAATTGATTTTCATTATTAGCTCTTTCCAGAAAACCAATTTTAACAATGCGAGCTGCCATTTTAAGTGCACTGATACTCTCCACATTGGAATTATATATTGAAGCATGTACGCAACTTCTGAAACTAACGAATTCTGTTAGTGTGACTTTTATTCTTTTTGCCAAATTTGAATTTTGAATAAGAGCAGAAACCGAGTTAAATTTTTCTTCATATGTAACATAAACTTCGGAAGGAATGAAAGTCATTAATTACAAAAAAAAAAGATTGTTTATTTGACAGGATGATGACTTGTTCAGTGGTGTTTTGTTGGAAAGAGCAAGTGTTTATTTCGGAAATGCCAAGATGCGTCGAAAAATGGCATTTCATTATGTGTTAGCAGGACATCGGATGTCGAAGGCTGGTCAGAAGCAATTATCCGTGGAATGCTTCAAGCGCGCTCTTCCTGAATATATTTCCAAACGTTGGACTTTTGCAGAAGTAAGTCATTACCTCAGCTTTAGTTCGAAGATTTTATATTAATACAGGCTATTTTATGAATTGCCTATCAAACTACAGAACATGCCAGATAATAATATTAATTAATAATGAGGAACATTATTTTTCACTATAACATTCTAACCTTCTAGAAAAGCTAAAAATTATCTAAAATTGTAAAAAGAAACTTTTTCCTTGCTATTACTTTTATAAGAGTTAAGTGGTCTGCACATTTGCTTTACGAAAGGCAGAAGCGTATTGACTGCTGCAAACAGAGAATGCGATAGCATAAGAAAGAAAAGCTGATAGATATGGAAAAACATTATAAGCCGTATTTTAGAATGGAGTGCCGAAGTCATTAATATAAATGATAAACTAAGAACATATAGTAAATGCTTAAATAACACGTTGAAATAACATGTTAAAGATTAATTTGATTGACTGATATGGTATTTTAGGATCATATTCTTTACACATTGGCTAATGAAAGTGAGCAAAAAGAAGCCCTGTCGTGGTGCTTACCTTTAATAAAATCACAGTCGGTACAATACGCCGATCAGCAGCAACTTTTTCTCAAGCATTACTTGAAACTTTTGAAACACTGTAATAGTACTCGAACTCATGCGCTTATCATGATACCCTTAGTAGATATTCAAAACATTGTTGTCATTTATGGAGAACGTCCGATCGAATTAACACCTGAATTAGTCACAAATGAGGAAACTTCGGTTCGTTGAGTCATTTTCTTCTCATTATTTATGTTTGTTACAACTTTCTGACTTGAGCCATTAAATATGGTAAACTTTTCCAGGATCGATGGATGAATTTGGCAAAAGCTGCATATTGCGCAATAACAGGTTCTTTTGCCGATTTTCGGGAAATAGGGACTGTTCGTACTGCTTCTACAGATAATTCGAAGGTTAAAATTTTTTTGACGTGACATAATGTTGGCAGTAAAACTCATAGTCCCTTCGAATCATTGCATTAGCCGTTTACAACAATGTTTTTGTTGACTTTGTTTAGGATTTTGTTTTAAGTTGACTTTCTAATTTAGGTACCTTTTACTCCACCGTTGGAAAGAATGCGAATAATACTTTCATTAAAAAATTCTATGGATATTCCCTTGATTTTGAAAAATATTCATTTGGAAGTATCAACTGATCCGACGATGTATTTGCAAACCTTTATCGACAAAGTTAGTTTCGATTCATCATCATGATCTTTGCTCCCATTTCTTCTCTTTTCGTCTTGATTTTCATGAACATGAGGCTGGAATATTCGTAGAATGGATCGGAAATATTATAATTTTAGTTTATCGCTAACAGTACTTTACAGTACTTTTTGGGTCGTTCAAAAGTTAGGAAGCCATCCTTCATCCTCATCTAAGTAACTAATTCTTTTTCAGGTCGTTTTAGAACCGAGATGTGATTGGATTCCTTTAGAGTTCTCTATTATTCCAAAAGAAGTTATTGATAAAGTACGAGTGCATAGTTTGTCGTTCAATCTCGTAGTTGACGAAATCAGTGTTACAAACTCAATCCCACTTAACATTCGCGGACCACGACTAAATAACACAAAGAAGGAGGTTAAATTTTCAAATAATGCTAACATTTCTTCAAAAAGTCTCTTGAACAGATATGGAGCTTGTTTCATAGAAGATTTGTAACAATTTGTCTGATTCGAAACAGTGATTTGGAAACTTTTATTAAATGTTAATAAAATTTCAAAATAAGATTGAAATTTCAGTAACTTATGATAATTTGCTAAAAAGAAGTGGTAGATAAAGGAAATCCACTAATATAAATATGACTCGTATGGAAACAAAAAACATTAGAAATACATATTGTAAAAAATAACTGTAAGACTATTTTTCAGAAAACATCAATCTTATATGGAGAGGATTACCGTTTGACTGCAAAAGTTACCAAAAAGCGGTGGCCACTGGTTGAAATTGATTTGCCACCAAAGCGACGATTAATAGCATTCTGTGGCCAAATTTGTCGATTTAACTGTGACGTGAACAATATAGGTGTAGTACCTCTGGAAGCTTTCTGCATAGTCACTGATCATCCGGAGCTGATTTCAGTTTATGAGGAAGATCCAGAAAGTACTGGATTTCAGTCTGTGAAATGTACTTCAGCAACTATAGATGCTGCAATTGGTGTTTTCAACTTGAAATACGGCGTTATTGGCGTAGGCCAGAAGAAAAGGTTGAAATTCTTTTTTTTTGTTTTTAGATTTTGTTTTTTTTAGACTTTTTTTTTTCTTTTTTAAAAGATAGCCCATTCGGCTTAACATCGCCTTGTAATGTGTATGTAATTTTTGATTTCGCTTTCCAAGAACTTCGAAATTCCGCAGTTTAATTTTGTTTATTACACTGGTTTTAATTTAATTATTTAATTAAAACTGGATACTTATTGTTTGAAGTATACAAAATAAGCTATTGTTTTTATCATTTTTGTTTGCTTTAGGTTACAGTTAGCAGTTCGAGCTCCTGCTACTGAATCTCTTGGGCTTAGCGTGATGCTGATTTGCTATTATCGTGGTAATAATTGTATGATCAGAGAAGAGAGGCATGTAATCGTAATTGACACCCGTGTAATTTTAGAAACTTCATTAAGGTAGTTTTTCTTAATTCCTGTACTGTTTTTATGGTAAAGAAATCAAAATTTGTATCTATTGCTATTTTCAGGCTTGTGGATTATGCCACTGGCGCATGCGTATTACAGCTTCGTAACCTCGTACCGAATCGTAGTTCTTTACTCGCCAAAATTGAATTAATAAGGATACGGTCGTCGGTCGCTCATGCCAGGATAAATTTCAATTCGAAAACATGGCCAGATTCTTTGCCACAGATTTTTTTACATCCTTTGCAAAAGCGTCGAGGTAAGTTATTTCAAATAAAAGGAGTTTAATGTAAGGAATCATGGGGTAGGGATCATGGAAAGAATCAGATAAATGAAGAAAAAAGACTTCTGGTGATTAAGGCTTGCAGATATTTTATTTATTTACTTAAACTTAGAATATCTTGGAAATTTTGACGTTACATTTAGTGGAGTTGGAAAGTGAACAAACAGATAGCATATCATTTTTGGCTAATGGGCGTGAGGGAGCAGTGTCCTTATGGTTTTGCGACGAAATCAGTGATATTCCGGAATGGTCTAGTACTTCGGACCGTGCATCTGAAATATGCGGTGTCATATTTTCCTCAAAACAAAGTATAGAGAATGAGAATACAGCAGTGCCGGAACTTGATTTGTTCTTTGCAGTTCTTTGGAAAGCTAATGTCGTTAATAGCGATGGTACTGCTTCTACAGGTAAATCTTTCCATTTGTTTATTTTTATTGTGGTTTATTGTTATTTATTATCACTTACTATTTATTATTATTGCTATTATTGTTATTGTCGACTATCATTAATTATTGTTTATTCTTGACTATTATTAATTGTTATTATCGTTATTATTATCATTGTTTATTATTATTATTTATTTATTATTTATTTGTTTATTTATGATTTATTTATTTATTATTTGTTTGTTATCTGTTTATTATGTATTTATTGTTTATTCATTATTTATCTATTATTTATTTATTAATCATCATTTATTATTAAATATTAAAACTAATTTTTGTCCTTTAATTATTTATTTATTATTGCTGATTATTTTGAAAAATGTTTTATTATTTAAAAAGATTGATTTTGTCATGATAGTGGCAGTTAAGCGACGTTTTCGAGAGGGATATTTATCGAAAAAGATTCTATTCCATGTTACTGGATACATGAGAAAAAGCAAACATTGTTAAAACTTTATGAAACTGCTAAGCATGTGTTGATAGCTTATCACGATTCAAGTAAAACTCTGAAGTTAAACTTAGGTAATGAGGTCAGAGACTGTTTAAACGATCAACGAATCCTGCTTTTTTTAGTGTTCGGTGAGAACTTTATGCCAAACCCATTTCCGCTTGGTTGTTCGATGCCGTTCTGTACTCCTCATGTTCTTCGTCCATTTTCAATCCAAGAATCGAGTCGAAATCTCGAAATGAAGTGTGTTTCTTCAGTCCCATCAACAACAACTGATATAAATCTATTTTCTTTCATTTGCAAAATGTCGACATCTTCATCCGTCACCTATCACAATTTTAATAATGAAAGGTACTTTTACAAATGCTAATTTAAGCATTTTTTGTTCAGTGAATATTGTATTTCAAATATGATTGTCATTTTCAAACTAAATGTTCAGGTCGTGCCACATACCAGTACAGATAGCAATAACGAATGATGATATTCTTCATCGTCGGAGTTGCACAGTCACTGTTCATTTTCTGGATTCCAGTCTTGTTCGGAAGCAGACAGTAAATTCCGAAAGCACCAACATTTCAGGATTTCTACCACAAAACATGATTTCATCATCAAGTTCACATGTGTATTCCTCATTAACTTTGCAACCACTAGTTGTAGCGAATCGTTCACGTATGCATGCAACAATAGCTTTTGGTTGTACGCAGATTTTTGATATCGAACTCACTGTCTATTGTCCTTCCATCTATGATATCGGTCGTTTTCAAGCCATTGGCTTATTCGATGATGGAACTGAAGTGCCTATAGATGTACCTCCGACATATGTTACTGTGATTGATAAACGGGTTTGAAAATTTGTGTATAAAGGAACCATTACTTCTATGTTTTAACTTGTTAATATTTGGGATATTTCAATTTTATCAGAATGACATCTGCTATGGTATCGGGTCTGGATTGCTTTAGTACTTTTGTTGCTTTTTAATATTTTTTCTATAGCAAGGGTATTTTGTCGAATGTAGGAACAATATATGTATTTTGATGATGAAATACAATAACTTTAAATGGTTTAGCACATTTTAACTGATTGTTCATTCAGATTAAATCGTCCAACTTTTGATTTCCATTTTTTTGTATTGAAGATGTGGAAGAGAGGAAAAGATTCATTCGATGCACAGTAGATTCTGCCTTAGGCTTGTATATATTTGAAATTTTCCAAAAGTTATTAGTTCTGGAAAAAGAAATTTGAAGCATTGTTTTTTCAAACTTTCCCGTAAATTTTTACTTCTCAAAAGAGTGTGTGAAATGAGGATAAAAATCATTTTATAAGCATTTTGCTATTCGTTTTGTTATACGTAATATTTGTTTTTTTATTCATGCTAATTCATAGAATAGTAACTATAAGAATACAAGCTTTTTGTTTCTTGTTATATTCATAAGGTTACATTCTATTCTTCTTCAGGATTTTATCCTTTTTTCTTTTTGAAAAAAAACTTGAGAAATTGGGAAATAGTTTTGGTTGAAATTGGACGGATTCCTTTCTTTTGTTTTTGTTTGTTTTACCCATTTTTGCATAAATTTTGATTAAAAGACATAAATATATGTGTATTACCTTTTCTGATTGCTGCACTGCGCCCTTTTCGGTGCGCTATTTTTTGCATTCCTCTAAATTCCATGGATTTATGAGAATTATAAATAAAAATAATGCAATAAAATCTTTTTCCGGCTACCTATCAAAATATGAGTCTCATACATTTATCTACTAATGTTTAGGAGAGTAAGTGTATATAGATCATGAACTCAGTCTAGAACTTCTGAGAGGTAAATTACTAGTTCAACTCCAAGATTCCACATATTATTCTTAGCATACTGCTAATTATCGTTTCCGATCGGGCGATCATCATGGCTTCTCAAACACAAGGCATACAGCAGCTTCTAGCGGCAGAAAAGCGGGCTGCAGAAAAGATCAACGAAGCGAGAAAACGCAAAGCTCAACGTCTGAAGGAAGCCAAACAGGAAGCACAAGCTGAGATTGAGAAATATAGAATGGTACGAGCTGTTTTCGTTGTATTTTTTTAACTAGATTTTGGTCACTGCAGTTTTTTAATATCTGTTGCGAAAATATTATTAGACAATCTTTTATTTTTGCAGTTGATTGAATAATATAGGAGTATTATAATTGAGTCCGAGTAATTGGTGAATTAGTACATTTCTTAACGATCTTAAAAGTATACAATATCTAAGTTTCTATAGGAACGAGAGCGTCAGTTCAAGGAATATGAGCACAAATATCTTGGAAAAAAAGAAGATATCGAAATGAAAATCAAACAAGATACCGAAAATAACATCAAACAAATAGAAGATTCTGTCGCAAAGAATAAACAGCAGGTTCGTTACCAGTTTTTCGATATAAAGTAAATGATTTGATAGTTTTAAAGCTGCATATGAAAAAAAAAATGTCATTCATATTTGAAAAACTGCGGAATTGAGCCGGATTATTTGAAGTTTGGTAAGAGGAAAGTATGGAACTGACAAAATTTGGCAATAGCTGTCAAAATTTATATATTCCAGGTGATTGTACGTTTACTACAGTTAGTCTGCGATATTCGACCGGAACTTCATATGAATCTTCAGATTCAGAAAAAACTTCATGGGATGGATCTTTAAATTTTATAGTGAAGCCATCCCATTCAGCGGTTTTTATTTCTTTTCGAATGATATCTTCAATCACTTGTTGAGATAGAAAAAACGTATGAATTCACTTTCTAAAATTATTGATTAAATATTTGTATCATTTTTTCCTCCAATGTTCTTTTTTAAAATGTATTTCTCATGTACCTTTCGACTCATATATTAAATTGACTTTAAAAGTATGAAATTATTTCATAGATTAATTTGAATGTCGGTGAGATTTTTCCAAGTACTTCATCGTTTTCCAGAACTCTTGGAATAATAGTGCATCTCGTGAAAAATGAGATGTAGAAACTTACCGATAGTATTGTGAGAATACTATTGTTTCCTCCCAGAGAATTAGTATTTACTCATTTTACTAAAGAACATTTCGAAAGAAAACTGTATGAAACCATTTGTTGGAAGAATATTTCATGTGATGTAAAGATGTAATACTTTGTATTATGATAATGATATATTATATTACATTTTAAAATTGGTAGAGTACAACTATCTTCGTAGTAGCTACTTTTCTTTTTTCGTGGTTTGAATACTTTAATTATAATAATCGTTTTTTAAAATAAATCTTTGAAATGTTTTTTGTTGGCATGCAAGAAGCTATCAGTTCGCATCTATATATACTTTTCAAAGAGCATATGAGATCTTAGAATTCTAACTGCTACTTAACTCCTAATTTCTTTTTGCTATGTGATTCACCAATGAATTAGATGGGGAGTTCAAATAGATTATATGGCCTAAGGAAACACCAGAGAGTGAGGATTTTTGATTAGGTGTATTAGTTTATATTTAGCGAGGTAGATATGTTTTGTTTACAAATAACTTCCAGATATTTGAAATGATTGAGATTACGGTGAACGATCGATTAGGAAAGAAAGTTCGGATCAAATGCAATCCGAACGATACAATTGGTGACTTAAAAAAGCTTATCGCTGCACAAACCGGCACGCGGTGAGTAAGAAGTTTCATTTGTTAATTTGTAAGTTAAACTGACTAGTCTGTTCCATGGAGGGAGAAGAGCCATTTTAATTTTCTATGTTACAGATATGAAAAAATAGTGTTGAAGAAGTGGTATACAATTTATAAGGACCATATAACACTGCAGGATTACGAGATACACGATGGTTTCAATTTTGAATTATATTATCAGTGATATCGACATTTCAAATGCTATGATCAGTGCTTTTTGTATTCTTTCCTCGTTGTTTTTATTTTGTTTATGTTCCAACACCTGTACAGTTGAATAAATTATTACATGAGCAGCTGAAGTTTTCCATCATTTCATGGAAGATTTCTCCATATATCGTATGCACATATATCGTGCAGTAATTATTGGCAGCCTTGATGAGTTTTTGGCTCATGATATATCAGTTTGGTCTTTATTGCAAAAGTGAAGCTCATTTAATCCTTTTCAATGCTATCTGCTGCACCATCTGTATAAATTTGTATGCAGTGTGGGAGGTTAAAATGTTTCACCTACCGATTCAATTCTTATTCATTTCTTTGCAATAATTGTTTTAAAATGATTATATGCGAGTTCAACAAGACAAAATTTAAAGCATCACTAATATGTTTTCCGTATCAGTGGTTATGATAATATTAGCAATAAAAAAAATATGTCATATATTTTGCAACGAATCATATGACTGTTATTTTTTTAAGAGATTGTAAATTTATCACTGTAAATTTTGATCATTAGAATTTAAGCTTTTAGTGCAAGACAAGGTGTAAATGATTTTCTCATCAATGCAATCAACGAAGGTTATTTATCAGAATCATTGCGCTGAATGATTATTTGAATGTGAGAAAATCTGAACTTTCGACCCCTCAAGACTTCAGTTTGTTTATTCGAAAAACTTTATTTCGACATCTAATTCTTATTTTTAATACGAATCCTAGCGTAATTGTGCAACGAAAGAACGAGACAATTAACTCGTTGATTAATAGTAATTTAACGATGATTGGTAGTTAAATTTCTGATAAACAGAAGAATAAATCAAGATTGTAAGGAAGTTGGTTCAATTTTTCGAATCAACCTTTCAATTTATAAATTATTTTATGAAATCATTTTTAACATCGAAATTTCAATCAATCTAGAAAACTTCACAAAATAAGATAGCCTGCTGTAACTCATTTTATACCGAAAAGCATGCTTTTTCAAGTGAAAAAGTTTTTTCTTCGTTAAATTATATCTAAAAATGAATTTAAGGACGCAACTTCATTTATTGATACATAAACTGGCTTCATAGATAACAGATGATAAGAATTCATGTTTTCCAAAAGAAAATTCATTGCTTTGCAAAAATATGATTAGCGTGGCCATCCTGTCCTAAATACATTCCAGAACCGTTTTTTTATTGCAAATCTTTTTTGTTATGATTTTATAGCATAATTTCTTTCCAATTTCTTCCCAACAATGATATTTGTCTCCGAAATATTACAGTCCAATGTTTATTCAGAAAATTGCTTCTGACGAAGAAATTTGTTTACTTCCTATTTAATCATTACAATTAGTTGAACAAAAGCAAGCATTGTGCCATTACATAAATGATGATAATTTCGGCAAGTATGCTTCGCTGGTTATAAGTTGAAGTAAAATTTTTAGTTGAAAAAAAAAACGAAATGAACCAATCGTCTTCAGTAACAAAGTAATATCAAGCATGTATTTCTAGTGAAAGCAATTCAAAATAAGCCATGTGATAAAGGATGTTATCAGTAAGATATTTATCAATTATTTAAATATCTTCAAAACTTCGATAATTTTTTGCAATATGACAATATTCCTTGATTTCTCATTTTATTCACTTTTAAAATCTATTACACGATGAAAATTTCAAAAATTTCCGTTTTTGGAAATGAAGGATTAGTATTCATCCTCGACCGAATCAAACGAATCAGCACCAACTTCTTCGTAATCCTTTTCAAGTGCAGCCATATCTTCACGTGCTTCCGAGAATTCACCTTCCTCCATTCCTTCACCAACATACCTAAAATAAAATGATGAGTGGAGAAGTGAATATAACTTAATATTCATTAAATACAATTATATATAAATTTTAAACATTTCAGAAAATATTTCTTTTCATATTTCGCCGTTATTAAGTTATATGATAATAAATTAATGATTAAAAAAAGAAATTTACCAATGTACAAAAGCTCGTTTGGCGTACATTAGGTCGAACTTATGATCTAATCTGGACCATGCTTCAGCAATAGCCGTTGTGTTGGATAGCATGCAAACAGCACGCTGTAATTTAGCCGAATCACCGCCAGGTACCACAGTTGGCGGTTGATAGTTAATTCCAACTTTGAAACCTGTTGGACACCTCGAAATAAAAAAGACAGTTATATTTAAATACTGCTCTGTAAAAAAACAACAGAAACTTTGCAAATAATTTGAAGAAGCACAAATTAAATGATAAAATGAGTAGACTTTAGGGAGAAAAAAAATATGCAAGCCGCAGTATTCGATCATCGTACTAGCAAAAAAAAAGTGCATTTACGAATCCAATCATCGATCTTACAACAGGCTATCAAAGGATGGAGAGTATATCAAATGCTAAAATAAAATCTTACCAGTCGACAAATTGAATGGTACGTCTTGTCTTAATCATCCCAATGGCTGAATTTACATCCTGCAACAGAATGAAAAATCTATGATTACAAAAATTATTCTCACAATCAAAAAATTCAACATTATTCTTTTGAAGATTAAATTTTACTAATTCTGCCTTTAAAGGAAAAACAGTGCATTGATACTGCAAATACCACCAAATTCAGGTCTCTTTACTTTTGTTATGTTCAATATCGACTTTTACTAAAGAATAATTTGCCACCTTCGGTACGACATCTCCGCGATAGAGTAAACAACAAGCCATATATTTACCATTCCTTGGATCACATTTCACCATTTGACTATTTGGTTCAAAACATTTATTAGTGATTTCCGAAACGGATAATTGTTCGTGGAAAGCTTTCTCACTAAAAAATTATCATTTCTGAGTAATAATAAGTATTAAAAGAATATCGACAATTGACAAAAGAAGAAAACCTACGCTGAGATAATGGGTGAATAAGTAACAAGTGGGAAATGAATTCGTGGATATGGTACCAGATTTGTTTGAAATTCGGTCAAATCCACATTCAGTGCACCATCGAAACGTAGTGATGCTGTTATTGAGCTCACAATTTGTGCAATAAGTCGATTCAAATTAGTATAAGTTGGACTGAAAAAAAATGGCATGGGGAAATTAAAAAAATCTTTGAACTTTTAAAAAGAATTGTAGCGTGAATTTTGTTTTAAGAAAGAATGCCTTGTGATATCAAGATTTTTTCGACAAATATCATAAATAGCTTCGTTGTCCACCAAGAAAGAGCAATCCGAATGTTCTAAGGTAGTATGTGTGGTCAAAATTGAATTGTAAGGTTCAACCATTGCTGCAAATGATTTTTTATTTAAAAATATCCATTAATGTTTCTTTCCTAACTCCTTTTAATTTGTTATTGCTCTTATCACATTAGTGTCCAAGCTGAATGATTCCTTATCACATTATCATATTGCAAAACTTTCTACAAGATCACTTGCAAAACAAATATGGATAGAGTACATTTGAGATTAAATCTTGAACAAATTAAAAGATACCTGTACTTATTTGTGGTGCTGGATAGATACTAAATTCAAGCTTCGCTCTTTTTCCATAATCAACGGATAGCTGTTCCATCATCAACGATGTAAATCCGCTACCAGTACCACCACCAAACGAGTGGAATATCAGGAATCCTTGTAAGCCATTACATCTTTCCGTTAGTTCTGCAAATAAGAACTCTTTCAATCTAATCAAAAAGCATAAAAAAACTTTCAAACACTCAATGAAACAACAGCTCTAAGTTTTTAAAACAGCACCATGCATTTTGTAATGAATTAAAACATTAAATTCATTAACAGAAAAATGCAGTAATAACTCAATCAAATATTATTTAAGCATCAAAAAAATTTAACAGTACTTCGAATTCGATCCGTACACACATCAATCAATTCTTTTCCGATTGTATAATGCCCGCGAGCATAATTATTTGCTGCATCCTCTTTTCCGGAAATGAGCTGTTCTGGATGAAAGAGTGTTTTGTAAGTCCCCGTGCGCACTTCATCTATTAAAATTTCATTGATGAATAAATGATGACACATAACTATTTGATGATAATCAGCACAATGCAGATAAATTTTTACTACCAGAAGCGTAGAAATGAAATTTACCAAAACTATTTGAAGTGCAAATAATGAATTACCAACGACGGTAGGTTCTAGATCAATGAATATTGCTCGTGGAACATGCTTTCCTGTTTAAAAAAATAAAATCAGAACAAAATCACAATCATAAATTGATAAACTATCAACTATCAATTGATAAATCCTTGCAGATACAGTCCATGCAGACTCTTTTTATATTTGGATTTGTATTCAACGACAAAATCTTTTCTGCAAGACTGATATTACCAGTGACACTGTAATTCTTACTATAAAAATTAGAATAAAGCCTGTTCTCAAAAGGATTGCTAAATTTCGAAAAAATCACCAGCTTGTGTTTCACTGAAAAATGTATTATAGGAGCAGTCTTCAATACCAACACTTTCATCGCCTGGTATCATTCCATCCGGTTGAACACCATGCTCCAAGCAGTACAACTCCCAACATGCATTACCAATTTGAACACCAGCCTGGCCAACATGTAAACTTATCACTTCGCGCTGCAATTTCTTTAACTTATCAAATAGGTTTTCAAAATGACCATCTTCACAACTCTTTGAATATTTGCATTTTTTAGAAAGCCATTTTGCAAAACATAATTTCATAGAACTTTGACTCGTCATTTCTTTCAATTGATGTTTTGACTTTTACTGTTAGTAGAAAAGAAAGGATATGATAAAAAATATGGTAATTTGCATTTTCGCAAATGGTATAGTAAATAAGTAAGACCGAGCGAAGAAAAAAAGTTTAATGAAGATGTTATCATTTAATCATTCATTTTGATATCATATTCTACTCCTTTAAAGCAATGATGCAAGTTGAAAGAGAAGAAAAAAGCAGAAGAATAAAGAAAAAGCTAAAAAATAAGTGACCTTCGAACTGTTTATTCCATCAAAGTCAATAGCACTTCGTTTCACTGTTGTGGATAAAAAAATGAGATAGAATGTTTCCATATGTAAAGTTAATGAAGTATTGAAAAGATGAATTTATCAGGTTTAACATTAATCATTCCAATAAAACATTTCATTTAATCATTAAACATTAATAGTAATATAACTGAGAGAGTTCTGGAAAAACCTACCATTTTCTTGCTCCGTAACACGATTGAAGTTTTTACAGGAAATAATTCAAAAGTTTTCAAAAAACTACTGATTAATTTTTCAGTGAGTAAAAGAAAAGTTATGCAGCGAGTAGAAAACTGAGGCTATTCAATAATTACTACCACATGTAAAGAGATGTTTGGCGGTAGCAAATCTGCAGCTAACTTCCGTTGCTATGGCATTGACAATTATTATATTTGTTAGTTAATAAACAAAATTGAAGTCTTTCTGTGTGCCTATAATACTACTAATAATAACAAAAGGTGACCAAAAGGCGTCCAAATGATCTTTAGAGTTAGCAAGAAGAAATCATTATTTGAATCCAGCAGTGTTACATGTCTAGCAACTAAATTTCCATCATTGCTAAATCTATCAAATCAGCCATAATAATGAATGCCCAATGAATAGTTGCAATTGTCATCCCGTAAAAAGATTAAATGATAATTACTAATTTTAATAATCCTAGCATAAAACAACAAAAAACTTTTTTATGAGCAAAAAGACTGTACTGCTAATAAAATTTAAGCGATCATTTACTCGTAGCAGAAATTCTTAGAATGGATTAATTTATGCGAATTAATAAAAGTAAGTGTAGGTAATATTTCCACTACGAATCATTATGTAAATGTGCAGCAGATAAATTAAGGAAGTAATAACTTCCATTCTTCTATTTAAGAAAGTACTACACATTTCCATGATTAATAATGGAAGTGAACATCAATTTCTTTTATCAAAATAAATTCTTTAACTACTTCTCGATCATTTTCATTTCCAGGCATGTCTTAACTTTGATAACGATTAACTTTTCCATGCACTGAAAAGAAAAAGAAATTTCACTTTGCCTTGTTATGCTATCACTATACTAATAGCTCTCTCTTCATCAACCTCTTGCTTTCACGGTTAAAATACAGTATTCTTCAAATGACCACTAAAACAAGTCTTGCATCGAAGAAGTCGAAGTCATTTTTAGGTTTAGTATAGCTCACATCTGTTTTCATTTTTCTACCTCTTCGAAGCATAAGATTACTAAAAATCTTATAAATTGCCAAAACAAGACTGACAAAACTTTAATTCTTTCATTCGTGTAAACTACACCTACCAATTTCATTCCTACCAATTATTGATTATCTCATTTCTTCTTTAATATTCATTTCCCATTACTTTTAATCTATTTTATCTGTATTATCTCTCTATAACAAGAAATTGAAATAAAAGTTCTGCAGCTATCAGAATAATCTTTCTAAACCATTCAGAAAAACTTTTCACTACTACGATGGCAATCTTTATTTGATTACATTCAAATCACTGTTCTATTTATTTTTTCGGCGATTGCAGGAAAAGTTAAAGTTCAACAGGAATGAAAAATTACCGAAACAACATTACTTCATAGTCATTCCATTATACAAAATAGGCAATAAATTTTTAAGCAATTTCAATCAATTCATACTTTAATTCACTGCTTCCTTACAATTACTTCCATTCGGCTAAAGTTCATTTCATTTCCCTTTTCATGTTTTTTAAAAGAAGAAAAGTTATTTGTGATTTATAAAGTTTGGATGAGTAAATAAAATTATATCTTTGCTTGTTTGTTTTTCATATATTTCTTGGCTTCTTTTCGACCACACACACGCATACATATACCATACACACACACACATACACACACACACACACACACACACACATGTTACCAGTCCCATATTCTCAAATCCTTTTTCCCTTCCGTTTCTAATAGCTCACCTCAAGACCACCATTAAGACTAAAGTAATTCATCTCACACATCAAATCGAATAATTGGATTGAAAGATCTGCTTTAATCACAGTAGCATACGTATTACGCACATTCTGGTAACCCATCTTAGTGAGTCTTTGGAATCATAGTTGCACATCTTCGCTGCGTTAATTTGGGTTCGGACTTGTAGATTTGTTTTCTCTTATGACTAATTTGTGTGCTAAGTTGATACTGTTATCGTTGTATTAAGATTTTCTCTCAATCTTTATTAATGCATTGCCTTCTTTCATATCTTTTGAAGCTTCAATGTCATTTCGTTTTCATCCTACTTCTGTAGAACTACATTTTTACACTACTCATTGCGGGAGCTAAGCAAACATTAATTTTAGTAAACAAATTCTCATGAATCAATAGTTCCAGTTAAAATGCGAAAGATATCTCGGATACCTTACCGTGCTAGGAGATTGCTTCTAAATTAAGTTTGCTAACTGACGCAACATTTTAAAAGATCTTACTGAAGGTCGAAGTTGTCGAAAAAGATTTTTTTCTGTTGCTTGTTTTTATCCTTTCAAGAACTGGTTTGTTAGGACATAAACTTAATTAGGACGAATTCACATCAGTTTCAGTTTGAATCGATTTTTCATCCAAGCTGTATTTTTCACACTTAGAAAAATGTTCCGAAAAACGAAAACCCGCAGTAATCTTCGTCAGCGAGTACTATCGGACATTGATGATGATGATGATGGTGGTGCTGGTGAAAGTGGTGGCGCTGGTTCCGGAGTATCAGTAGCATCGACAATCAAGGGAACATTGGTCAGTGAAACGGTCAAACAGCAGCAACAGCAACATGCGGAAAAGGTGAATAAAGCAGAAGGGAACCAGGAACTACAGGCTGGTGTGGTAACAGAGGAGCACCACTTGCTCAGTTTTGATAATTTTGAAGGTCGGTAGATTTTCAACGAAGCTGCAACCAAAAAAGAAAGAAAAACGCGACAAATTCGTTGTTTGTCGGTGGCGTGTTACACTTCCAACATTATACTTCACCTTACCTGGATTGGTCAAAATATTGTAAGATATTGGTCGAGGTATTGTAATCAAGCACTGACCGGAAGTAGGCTCTCTGAAAACTGGATTTTTAGACTAAATCTGTTATTCCACTTCTCGGTGTTTTAATCTGTATCAAACAATATGAGTCTAAATATGACTTAACTAAATAGATAAAGATTTCTTTTGCGTAACTCATCTGGAGCTTGTCGCTTCACCAAAGCTGGAATATAATAGATATTTTGTGATGTCGGAGGATTTTTCTATATACACGAGACACGAAAGTTAACTGTTTCATTTTCTTCAGAACTTTGATTTCCCACTTTTTACTTCATTGCTAATCTTTCAGGTGATGACATAACGGACTTCAAAATTAAACGTAAAGATCCTAATAAACGTTTGGATAAGTTAACAAAAAGAGCTAAATTGCGACAGAAGGTTAACGATGAAATTATGGAGCAGGAAACCAGAGTAGTTGTCAAACAAATTAAGAAAGAAGTGAAAACGGATGAACCATCAACCAAGAATGTATGTTTTTCCTTGGAATTCCTTTTTTACAAGCGTTTTTATCTTTATTGCTACAGTTTTGGAGGTCTTCCAGCAACTTTCTTATATTCAAATCTAAAATTTATTGCTTCAGACTCGCAGCAGTCAACAATGCAAAATGAAGGATGAATCCGAACAAGAGGGAACAAATGTGGAGCAGGATTCGGTCATAAGAAATAAATTTCCGTCTGCATTTCGAGGTTCAAAATTCTGATATTTGCAGCTTATCGCTTATCTTACCTTTGCATCATGCAATTCTTTTTGCCGTTCCAATCACAATTCTTCCATAGTAATCAGTTTACAGGAGAAATTCCTGATGCAAAGACTGTTTATGAAGCGCGGAAGAAACGAGAAAAAATGCGTTTAGTCGGTTCTAATGGACAAATCCCACTGGATGATGTACAACGGTTGAAGGTACATATAATAAATTTTAATAAACATTTTAAACTTTGAGATTTAAGTTGTCGATATTAATGAGAGGGTGTATCCAAGTAAGGCAATATTCAACACTGGATTGCCTTAGTGGATTTTTTTATCGTATTTAAATTATTTGACTGAATAAGAAAATTGATAGGATAAATCCGTGGCACGATCACGATTAATACGTGAAGATGAAAACGATCTAAGTGATGAAGACCCAGAAGGTGGAAGGTCAGTTTTTCCTTTGAAGATTCATGTAGTAACAATCCTATCATTGCCGTCTGAGAAACCATTATTATCGATAAACAATTTCCGTTTTGGTAGAATTTAAAAAGGTGAAGCGAAATTAGATTTTATTCAGATAAAAAGGCACTAACATACGTTATGATTTCTATCAGCAAATCCAAATCAGAAGACTTCCTGAAATCATGGGATTGAATAATTAGATTACTCTTTACAGGTTTTATTCATTAAAAGGTTTAGCAGCCGATGATGATGAACGACGTCGAAATGAGCATATGGATTTTCTCGCGCATGAAGGAGGAGGTAACAATTTTTAAATATATAGACTGGAACAGGGCCTAAGCGTGTTCAATATCATATTTCAAAAAGGTAATACATATGTGCTCGTTTCTGAAACATCCATATCCGGTCAAATGGTTTATTCCCGATGAGATGAGCTCACTTTTCATTGAATCAGTTTCCATTATTTTACAGCGAGTGATGAAGATCACGAGCAATCGGATGAGGAAGTAACACGGTGGGAAAGAGAACAAATGAAGAAAGGAGTATCATCGCATAAGGTAATATTTATGGCACTAAGTCGTGCAGTATTTTCTTTGAAACAGAAAAATGCTGGAATTACCAGTATAGTATGAAATCAAGCATTTCCTTATTTACATGATATAAAATTGAAGGTGGAAATGTTGGAACGTGAACGTGCAAAAATGGAAGCAGTGATGAAAGCCATAAGAAGCAGTATGGAATTGCCACCCGAAAATCGCGAACAGTTGCCCATGGAAATGGATATAGATTTTTCCGAAACTGATATGCTTTCAGTGGCACAGGGTTGGTACATATTACCGATAATTTTAGCTGGTTGTGTAAGAATTACTGTTCTCCTATGAAGTTAGAGAAGATTTAATTCTTTGTTGGAAATTCCTTTGTTCCTTACATCATCGCTTAGAAGCGGATGACTTTTCTGACTATATAAAATAACGTGAAGAGTCTCTGTTAACTTCTTTCTATCAGTTTTGTTTCAGCTGGACGATTATCTGGCCAGACGACAGCTGTGTCGCTGAAGGAAGTTCTTTCGAAATTGCAGCAGCGGTAAGTTTACGTATTTTAAATTGAAATTATTTTCCAATCTTGGTTCACTGTAGGTTTTATCACGTGATATTCTCAGTAGCGCTTGAGATTAAAATATTGCAGCAAAAAAGATGGAAAGGAATCAGTAAATGCTCGTAAAGCAGAGTTTGAAAAGACAAACATGCAGATTCGAGAAAATAAAGAAATGATTGGCAAGCTTGAGATGGAAGAACCGCGGATCAGAGAACGCTTCCAAGTTTATCAGGATATGCGAGCATACGCCAGGGACTTGTTGGAATGTTTGTCAGAAAAAGTAAATGTTTCCGAAACAACAATTCCTTTCATAAACAGTGCATGACAGCATTAAATTGCATATAATTATCTGTCTGTTTTGTATTTCAGATAGGCGAAGTTAAGGACTTGGAAAATCGAGTGGCAGAAATTTTAGATGGAAGGGCTCGAAGACTTCGAACACGAAGAAGAAACGATGTGCATGATATGTATGATGAATGCTCGGCAGCTGCCGCCGGTCGACCATTGCATCAACGAGCCCCCGAAATCACCCAAAGGGCAGCCGAACGAGAAGCGAGAAGGTAGGACTCGTAACATTTGCGGAGGGTAATGTTAGATCAAAACTAAGTTTTTTTTTCAGGTCTCGCCGTCGTCGTATGCGTGAAAATACTTTAGAAGGTGTTTCACATGAAGAAGGCTTGAGTACAGATGATGAAGAGACAAATAGTGAGATTGTGGCGCGCCAACAATCGATCGGTATGTGTTATACTATATTTGGTACGTTCAAAAGGAAAGAATTTTATCAGGAAAACGCTTGGAAATTAATGAAAATATGCTTCTACAGATGAGATCCGTGCAGCGGCTAATGTTGTATTCGTTGATGCACTTGATGATTTTTGTCGTATTGATCGGATTCTATCAAGATTTGTTGACTGGCTAGCACATGATGAGGAGTCCTTTACGAACGCTTATATTCATCTCTGCATTCCAAAACTTATATCATTGTTTATTCGTTTGGAACTAATTGATTGGGAACCGCTTGAGGTATTTTTTCATATAATTTTCGAAACTTTTAGTTTAGATCGGTTGCTGAATATACTTTTGCTTCCTCCAATCTTTTGAAGTTGCAGCAGTTTTTTGCAAGACTTTCTGGTATTATAAACTTCATGCACAGACTCATTAACGCAAAATATTACATGGAAATTTGCGCAAGGAATTTCCGTGCTTCCTGATGCATTTATGTTTATATTGAATTCTTTATCTTCTACACCTGGATTACAAATTTTTTCAAGAATGATAGTCGTCCGGTGAATTCGATGCGCTGGTACGAAGATTTAATAACATGTGCCGCAACAAGCTCGAACATTAGCGTTGAACACCCCGTTGTTGTTTCACTTGTACCTCTCTGCATTGAGAGAGTTGTTTTATGGAAAATTACAGGTGCCATTTATATTGAACAGTGTTTGTTATCATCGAACAGAATTCTTCGTATAATTTGACTGGAAAAGCACGTTTTTAATGTGATTCAAGTTCCAAACAATGTTATGCTCCAATAATTAAATACAGTTTGTTAAAATTTGGAATTAAAGCATTTTTCTTAATATTTGGGTAAATTGTTGGGAAAGGTTAAGGGAAAATGGCATCTTCTTCACTCAAACTTTTTTTTTGAACAATAAAGATTTCCCAACAGATATTGATTTATAATTGCTACTTTATTAAAATTGCCTTGAAAAGTTTAGAAGTATATTATTTTTTTGATATTTGAAACTACTTAAAATTTAATGGTGATGATGCATTAAGCTTACTTATATTTAGATCTGATTCGTGAGCGTTGGGACCCTCTATCGCAACACCAGTGTCGAAATCTGGGTTTTTTGCTCAGTCATCTGATTGATGAATGTCCAACGCTGGTACCAAGTAGTCGGCCAGTGCAAAAACTTCTGCAAACTATATGTCTGCGAGCTCAAGATGCTATTGATGAAGATTTATTTGTTCCCATTTATTCGAAACAGTATGTTTTTATTTGATTAATTTATATTTGATTCTCAAATCGAATTGCATAAGTTCTTCAAATTTTCAAATATTTTTTAGAGCTATTGAAAATCTTGCTACGGGTTGCAAGGCATTCTTGGATCGACAGACTTGGACATCTGTTAAGGTTCGTTTTCTTGTTTTGTTGATAACCGAGATAATCGGCTATCGTTATATGCAAGGTTTATAGAGTAGTAATTGTGAATTTCATTCTGACAAGTGAAAGAATTCCTACAATCCTAAGAAATGGAATTGGATGTTTGCTTTCTTTGGAATTATTCGTTATTCATGATTGACAAATTACAGCTCATCCGTTGCCTGAGCTGTCTCTCTGCTATTTTATCCGAGGAAAAAATGCACGAGTTGGTTTTGGACGGTATCATAAACCGAATGATGCCCGCATTACAATGCGCAATAATATCTGATCAATCTATGATTCGGAAATGCCGAGCTTTGATGAAGTTAGTCCCAGCAGCGTGGAGGGAAGATAGCACACGCATTGCTCTACGAAATTTCAACGATTTGTTAGGGAAAGTTGCCGAAGAACATAAAAATAATAGGTTACTCTTGTTGTTTCTGATATAAATGTGGAATTTGACAAATTAAAGTGTTCATCGTTATAATTTTCATTTTCTTCTTAAATTCACATTCACATTATCCACTTTCCCCTTTGAAACTTTCCCGTTTTTGCTAAGTGTAATGATATAAATGATTCATGCCCTAAATTTTCTGTCAGAAAATAAAATTTAATCTATTTTTTAATTTCAGAGAATTTGTCAAAGAGGTGAAAAAATTTGTCATTGTGAGCAAATACTGTTAACTGTTTCCAGTGTTTGTGATTATTTAATTGCCTGGTTGTACAAAACTTGAATAAAAATTATTTGTCAAATTTGTCGTCATTATTTCATTTATGGATGTATTTCAAAGTTAAATTCAAACTAATACTGTATCATAAATCGTTTTTGCACAGTTGAGGGAGTTTGTTTTGACGAGTCTTACTTGTAACTTCATAAATACATCATCAATTTGGATGATAAAAGGAGATACTTGAAGCGAATTCGCTTTGTGCAAATGGGTGGAAGATATGTTTGGATGAGTAATGACAGAAGCTCATAAAAAGAAATCATATATGGGAGCTTTTCTGTTTCAGAATTATGGATTGGCCTCGAGCTCTGGTGATTATTGAGCGGTTTGGTCGTATGGCTAGAATGAACCTTCGTGAACTGCAGTTACTTCTGGATATTAATGAGGTTAACTATTTTAAATGAATTGTGGCTTTAGAGAAGGATATTTTTAATTTTAACAATGTCTGCAAGTTCAGAGTCCGAAGCGTTAAGCTGTTTTTGCGGTAGATGAAATCATTTTGAAGATGAATTGCAGCAGTGTCTGAAATAAAATCATCTGCTGGCTATAACGTTTTAAGTTTTCTTTTTATAGACCAGCTCACCGTTGGATTCCAAGAGTAAAAGAGATACTTCACGGAAGATTGATCAGTTGTTGGATGGTTTGCAACAAGTTCTGAATGTGCGGTCTGATCTAAACATAATTGATCGAGAACGTTTCGACGTCCACATTGAACCAATCCGAATTCAAATTCAGGGGGTTATCAATGCGCTGAATAGGATTGCTACTATTGAAACATCAGAAAAGAAGAATATTTATGATGATTTGTATGAAAAATCTTTGTTGGAAAAAAGAACAGAGGTTTCTTTGATTGTTTAAAAATCTGCCTGTTGCCAAAATGGAGAGGGAAAAGTTCTTGTTTGACTGAAATGTTATTTCAAGGCCATTGGTTTTTGCAAGTTTATTTCTTGTTTTTATTGGTTATTTCCTCCAGAAGTTTTGCGCAATATACAATCATTATTTTAGGGAGATGGACTGCAGGAAGAGAAACAAAAAAGGATAAATCCATTGTTTTTGCAAACAAAAGAAGCTAAGATGAATGCTGTAGAAATTAAGAAATTGGCCTGTGTAAGTTAGTTTTGGCACCTGGTCGTAATGATATGAATTTCATGACAGTAAAAATATCAAGGGAAATTTAATCCCTATTTAAATTGGTGTCCTTTATTTTATTTCGTTCTAGGATATCGAAGATTTGAATGAAATGATGATACAACTTGCTCAGCTTGTTCATGTAAGTAACATCTAATAATTTTATTTAGTTAAATGAAATCAGAGAACGAATTCGAATGACCGCATGAGACAATGCATTTTTCAAAGCAAGGTTCGTCGGTAAAAAGCACTGACGTAATGTAATACAGTGAAAAGCAGTCAAAATCATCCGGCTGATACCCAGTCTTTTTTCCATGTTATTTGATGGCTTATTCACAGTTTGATAAACTTTCGGTTAAAACCAAATTTCGCTTATAGACACAACATGAAGTCGTTGATAGTATTGAGGAACACGTCGAAAAAGCTCAGGCAGACGTCCATAGAGCTCACAAAAACTTGAAAAAAACTCAAGCTGCACAAACAGCAAAATATCCGATGATAGCAGCCACTGTTGGTAGTATTGCAGTGGGTGGCCCTGTGGGGTTCGTCGCGGGTTCAGCGGTAGCCGGTATTTTCGCCGCTTTTGGGGGTGCCATTGCTGGTTAGTTTTATTCTTCACCGATCTTGTGAGGTTTTTTTCATTCCATCAGTTATGGTAGATTTTGGAAGGTTGTGGTTAAACGAATGTATTAAAGAGTAGAACAGATATATCTGCTTCATAGGGCAGCGCTGAATGCAAACACACCAGACATTTGAAATTCAGATTTGGCCTTTATACGTCACTGCGTCACCAAAAATAACTGTATTGAACTATTTTTAAGGCGCGTGTAGCGGAAAATATTTTCGTCAGAAAGCTCAGGAAACGGCGAATCAGGTAGATGGAAACTAATGCGCACGCGCTATTTCATTTCCTGATCATTCTACATAAACTTCTAGTCCTGGTCCTTACCAAATATCCCTAAGGCTTTATAATTTTGAAAACGTTGAAGTTATTGCCTTTAGTCTTCTGGGACTCATTTTTTGTGGTGATTTGCGTTGTTTGGAATAGAAGAAATGAGACTCTCCCGACCGGTGTCAAAATCGTTCTTAAATGTCAGAAGCAATTCAACCACGGAACAACTTCAGAAAATTTAATAAACCATGGAGAGGCGAATGCGGCTGATACACTCAGCCTCTCTCTCATTAGGGCTGTATTTTGCTTTGACCTACCTATGTACTAACGCCGTTCTCTTTAATCCAATGTTCTGCAAACGATAAAAAGATTTGTCTCTAATTTCAGTCATGATTCTGTATATTATATGATCGTTTTTTGTTATTTAAGTAGGAAGCCAAATGCAGAAATCTCTTTATCCAGACTACCCTTTAAGTATGCAAATCTTATCCGAGTAGGTTATACAGGTTCACCAATTGGAAACAAGCCCTAATAATGTTTACAATTATTTCGAATAACATGCAATAGGGAAAACAAGTCATTCCCACGAGAAAATCGGCTTTCGTAATTTTAACAAAACAAGGCAGCTCTAAGGAGGACAGATGATGTTGAATTTAACAGACCGACGGTTTTTTTTGTAACACATCAATGGATATTCAGAAATAGGAAGAAAACCTTACAGATAAAAGCAATTCCAGAAAAAGTACGAAAAAGTACATCAAAGGTCTCCTAAAAAATGTCTATAAAAAAGCACGATAGCTGGCTGATGTCAAAAAAAGATAAAATACCGCAAGGTGCTACCCAGTTACATAATATTTTCATATAAGAGCAAGTAAAAAGAAAATGATTCAGATTTTTAGAATAAAAAGTACCAAGATTTCAACGGAATTTATGCCACGGACAATCACTTCATGAAACTTTTTTAGATTTAGGAACCCAAGATTCATCGAAGTTTACAGGGTGATTCTCCAGTATTTTTTAAGTCACTAGATCTAGAGAACTCTATGATTGGGCGCACTGAACATTGTGTGTGCCACCACCACCACCACCACTACCACTCATTTCTTCATCTTCCTCATCAGCGTCATCTTGATACACTTCACCTGGACCACCACGACCTTTTTTTTCATAACGACGTTCTTCGTAAGACATCAAAGAAACTTCTTCTACATTTTCGCCTTCTGGTAACGGACCTCTTTGCGGGCGACCACCTAAGAGCGCTTCTAAGCACTGAAACACAAAAAACACTGGACTCATTTTAAAATGCATTGCTAAAAATTTATAGCAGTTAAAAGAATGTGTGCTTAAGCGATATGAAAGAATTAAACCGAAATCTGAGCAATGAAATGAAACAAATCTTTAATCCCTTAAAAAGACCACAAACAGAAGGAGGCAAACGAGATTTAAAATCAGAGGTTAGACCCATTCAAGAAAAAGAAAAAGTCTCATTTCTCAAGTTTCAAAATAGGTCTCAAAATAAAACCTTATAGTCAGTCTCGTTTTTCAAGAAATTGTCTTCCGGAAATTCGATCGTGAATTTGATGAAGAGAACACCCCCAGCACCCGGACTGTCTACCATAGGCATCCCTTCATTACGAATGCCACGAACACAATCTGTTCAAAAGTTTTCATTTATCTGTTCAAAAGTTTTCATTTACTGTTCATCTGTTCTGTTCACATCTTTTGTTACGATCCTTATAGGAATTTGTACGCCATTATCAAATATCGTTACTCATGATATGAGCAAAGTGTCGATGATGCTTCTTATCAAAATATGAGTCAAATACTTCTGCTAATTAAACTTGCTCCAATTTCAATCTCTTATGTCTTAAATTTGAGTCATTTAAATTATTGTGCAGAGATGCCAAATGAAGCCAGACTGCACACCTGACAAAGTGAAACCGAGAGAAATGTGTGAAGACTCAATCATCTTTCGACAACTCGGATGTTGCTAATCCATATTCCGACAGAATGCACAAGATTTCTTAGGAGTAAACATTAAACTTTATCAATATATAGTAGTACCTGGTTCCAAAATGTCATTGGGCCGAGTAGTTACTATCAGTTCCCTACCATCCAGATGCTTGACTACAAACTGACAACCACATAGTGCATCGTTTAATGATATTTTCCTGAAACCAGATTCTTATCTTACTTTAGACCGTCATAATTTTAAAAAATGATAACTGCTGAGACATAAATTTTCATACAGCGATAGTTTCATAATATCTTGTGGGGAAGTCATATTTTAAAACTTACTTTTGCATTAGTAAATTGTCACCTTGTCTCTGGAAGATATCATGCGGTTTAGATTGCACCACGATTATCACATCACCTGGTTCAACCCCTGGCTATAAAAAAAGACAAGATCAAATAACAGATTTTTCAATACCTTTGTCATCCTTCCATTTGTAAACGATAATCAGAAATTAATTTAAAAATTTATACACTTTCAGTTACAAAGAATGCAAAACCTCCTGATCCCCTTCGCCCCTAAAACAAATCTTTTGTCCATCATGCATTCCTTTCTGAATTACCACTTCCAACATCTTTTTTTCAGTCACAGTTTTCTCGCCTCTACATGTTTTGCATCGATCTTTCTCCGGTATCTTCGTTCCTGCAATCAATTCTACTCATAAAAAAAATGTAATGAAATCGCTGGCTCAAAAAACTAAATTTAAAAACGAAAAAGCAAAGCAATATTCATCTTAATATGTTTTCAAATACCTTAATATGTTACAAACCTGTTCCGTTACAATCTGGGCACTGTATTTGCATTTGCTGAATTAGACCGGAACCAAGTTTCCTTATGATGTTCTTGATACCAGCTCCACGACATTCTTGACAGTCATACGATGCTCCTTCTTTACCACCACGACTGCAAAGAGTTAAAGAGATTTGGAATCGCTAGAAAATATGAATAGTTAGTTTGAGAGTGCTTCACAGTTTCTAATCATATCATGCTATTAGAGCTCCCAAGATGACATTCAATCAGTCCGAACGATAATTGTATAATAACTCCGAAATATAACATCTCCAAAGCAAAGCATTAAAAATCAAATTTAAAAGAATACTCCCGTTTCAACAAATAAAAAGAATTAAAACTTTAATCTTTAACAGAGATACATCTGCATTATCGTCTATTCATTATTTCGTAGCACTTATCGCTATAATAATAATATGAGTCATGTATCAACTGCTTTAAATCTAGATCAATATGACAATACCATGTACAAGAAAAATCAATAAAAGTGACATTGAAAACAGTGTAGTGCAGGAGTTACATATATTAGGTATTAACGAAAAGTTTGTTAATTAAAAAGACAAAACCATACAGACAATTTTTCGGAGTTATAACATAAAAAAATCTCTCTAAGACATTATTGCAAATATGTTTTCTGCAATTCAGCAGAACTTATAAGGCATCCTAAAGGATGTATATGCAAAGAATGTATATGACTATCATAAAGGATGTATATGACTTGTCTGTAACCGTTCTTTCAAGTTAATGATAGTCTTAATGACATTCAGTACTTCTTTATTGGTGAAAACAAAGTTTGTCTCAAAAAAGTTTTCACTTACTGGAAATAAGCTTTTAACAACATAAAAAACCCCTAAAATGAGATATTAATGCATTTGCCCTCCTGAAAAAAAGGTTATTTGAAATGTATAGCGAATATTCGCAAAACCTACATAATCTTTGAAATAAAGCTGGACATATCATTAACTCACCCATGACATGTGCTGCAGATTACTCGCTTTGACAGCTGTAATTTGGATTTCTTGCCATTATAGAGATCTTCCAGAGATACTTTTAATGGATGAGCCATGTCCTGACCACGCATTTTTCTCCGTCGTCCACCACTACCACCGAAAAATGACGAAAGCGAGCCTCCACCAAAAAGCGTTGAAAAAAGATCTTCGGCACCAGAAAAACCTCCTATAATGATATACTAATATATATAAGTTAGTAAGAATATTTTTTTGGAATGTATATCTTTCACCTACCGCTATCACCTTCTTTGATACCATCGAGACCTCTAGCGTCATAAACTCCTCTTCGATCTGGATTACTCAGCACTTCATAAGCAAACGATATTTCCTTGAATTTTTCGCCATGAGATGGATTTTTATCAGGATGGTACTCCTTCGCCAAATGCCGATAGGACTAAAAAACCAAATCAAAATGTTAACGATATATAAATTTCGTGGACTAATTTTCAATATCTCGGCTTGCCAGCATGGAAAAACGTCATTCTACTTTGCTGAAATAAAGTAATTACTTTCCACCGGTTCTTCTCACTTTTATAAAGAGATTCTTCACTCAGAAGAAAAACGCTACCTTTTTAATTTCATCATCGGTAGCATTCGGTTTCACTTTTAAGATATCATACAACGTCGTGTCCACTGGCCCATTCATACGACCGCCACCGTCCATTCGATGAAAAAACATTGCTGTCTGATTCTCTCAAATCAGTGCCTTTATAGAATAATTATAATATAATTACAGAATAATTAAAGAAACGAAACCTATCTATCGAAAACCGCAAATCTGAAAACAAAAACATGCCAAAGCATATTGTAAAAGCCCCTTTCACCCAAACATTGCAGCATCCCGGAGCAACAACTGGAATCCATTCCTAATTACAAATCCTCCAGCTGACGCGCAATTAGTCTACCAAAACAGTCATCGAAGTTGAACTGTTAAAACGAGAGACATATTATGATGAGGTACTACCACTCTCCCAAGTACCATACTATGTTATCTCGATATCAAAGCAGTTTTCATTCAATTTAATTGTACATTTGAGTGAATGTGGCGAAAAGGAAGGAAAATAGAAAGCATAAAATTGACTCAGTGCCTCATTCAGAATAGGTAGAAAGTATGAAGGTTTATTGACAGATGATTCATGTCTTCTGAAAGTTAGGTACTCTTTGACAGCATTTCTGATCCGAATAGCTCAAGCTAGAGATGTCTCCTTGATCCGAATGATGCCATCCCAACATGGAATAGTGCAGGATCGATTCATTCCTTCCCCTCCAACAACACAGTATCCCCCTGCGCTGCTCTTCATAGAAAGTTCTAGTCTCAATGCTGCCTCACTCTCTCCAGTTACGGTAACGTGTCGCTATGAATTATGCGATGCTTATTACAGCTCAATTTTTAAAATAACATTTGATATGTATAGAATCGCGAAGGGCGAATTACTTCAACTTAATTTTGCTTACATATGCACATCACTCATCAATGTGCTCAACTGGGAAAGTTATGGTCATATACTTCTATGAGGAAAAGAAATTATTAGGCTTATTAAACGGATATATTCCAGAGATAAGCAAAAGGATATTAGTGGTTAGGATAGACATATCCCATTTATAAATGTCAAAAAATTCGCCATTGCAAACTAAGGCTCAGCTATAAGAGTGCTGTTTATATTTATTTATCATCTTAGAGTTACGTAGCCACGTAATGCGGTATATAACAGTTAAAATTGGAATCAATTTATGCATATTTCATTCAAAGTTATGGTTATGATTGCAAATAGTAAATTTTCGATAGAGTCTATTTCAGTCTTTGTTATCGATTTTCTTCACTATTATTTCGAGCAAAATGCGCAAGTTTTTGGATAACTTCTGTCCATCGTCTGCTCAAGCAATCATCGCCATTGTAAGCTGTTGGTGTGTGCGCTATAACACTTCTATCAAAATTTCTTCTAAATTTTTCAAACTAAGGAAAGCTAATAGAGACTGTTATTCAGACTTATCGAAAAAGGATTGTGAAATATGAATCATTTGTATTTATCAATTCTGTAACCTGAAACAGAAATTGGACCCTCAACCTTTACGGTATTCCCTAAACCTCAGAGTTTCTCAGTCACTCATCCTATGTCTACCGATATGCTTCATTAAGAACTGACTGCATTACGCGATTTTTATTTTTGTTTAAAATTTTAAAAACTTCAGTTTTCTTCCGTTTTCATTTACAATTGCAAAAACTATTACCTTGATAGGCATGAACTGGGAAATTATCGTTGTAATGAGATTGCCCACCGGGAGCATAATTAATAAACATAGCTTGTCCTTCACTGGACAGGTACAAATATTCGCCTTGAATTGATAATTTATAATTAAACGATCTGCAGCTATATTTGATCAAGTGATATGACTATTTCTATTTTAAGACATAATTTGAGAATAGAGGAAAATAAAGTTCACGCCTGGCAATGGAATCAATTTGGGCTTTCCTGGCGATATTTTATCTAGGATCTTACTGAGCAATAATACAATTCTTTATTATTGCTCAGTAAAATTCCTTGTTGCATACCGGCGTATTTCGTTTCGATGGATTTACCATTTACTTGTATTTCTCGTGTTACTTTCATATTAGGATGTACCTGAATCTTTCCCTTCAGTTAATTATCTGTTAATAGATTCAAGTTCAGATTACAATCTTTGAAATTTAATGCTTAAAGAAATCCGGTACTTTATTTTACTCAGAATTATACTCCCTACTTAACTGTCTCATGACATTTTAATCGAAATCTCAAGCTATTCTAAAAGATATTTTCAAATAATTCATTTCGAATAAGGACATTTTTGGAATATTGAAAAAGGACATTTTTAAAGTAAAAAAAGAGAGGTTAACAGATATAAAACCTTAACTGTTTTATGACATTTTAATTGAAATCTCAAGCTATTCTAAAAGATAGTTTCGGATTTTCAACAAAGAGAAAAATGCCCACAATGTAAATAACGCGGCACTGTCGGTTCTGCAGCAGTTGTTGGGAACAACCGCTTCCTTCCATTACAATACGGCGAAATGCTCTGGAAGTTTTGGAATTCATGATTCATTATTGTAACAGTTATCTACCATTTCGCTGTTGAAATGAAGGAGGATTATGCGCATGAGCGGATGTATTTGTGAGCGGAGCGTGGATGTTTATTAAGTGGCCAAGCGAACGTATGAGAGACAAACGCAGGTCTCATATCTACATTAAAATAGGTATTGGGAGCTTGAATTCTTCGTGTACAGTAAAGGTCAGGAATACAATGCATATAGGTTGCACCTATATAACGACTATGGCCCATCGTCATGGTTTTCATAAATCTTACTAACTGTTAGTTCGAAATGAAATAACAAAAGCAAACCCAACTTTTATTTTTACATGATATAATAGCAAACTTACTTTACATTAAGCTCAAACGATTACTGTCAAGAAATACCGAACTGATGGAATATCTGGTGATTGACTGTCCTAGAAGGCGTAAGATTCAGTTCTAATTTTTTTTAGTTATATGGTGAAACTGTTAGAGACACTATCTAATTGCTATAAAAGTGTGTAGCTTGAAAAAATCTTTGGAATGAACTGCGAGCTCTCCAAGTCTTGGAAGAAAAACCAGAATAACCGAATAGTAATGTAGTATTTCTCAACTAGTTTCATCCCTCTTTAATACAATAAAAAAGTGTCTCTCAGGAAACATAGCAATCCTGGACTGTGGAAGCTACTAAGATTTCCTACAGCATATCACTTTCCAATATTCTGTAGCACGTCAAGTGAAGAATACCCTCATTTAATTTTGATCACAAAATGAAGTAGAGCGGTGCTATAACAGAAACAATAATTGCAAATGATGTTGAAGCAGAGTTGCACAAATCTCGATCATCGCAGCAACAAAACATTGCTTTGCTACCGAATAAGTCCTGCTCGATGCAACTGTTTCTATTAAGCTTAAAAGCAAGTATTTTTAACTGATCAGGAAATTAAAACCATTTGCAAATCTTATGCAATTTCCAGATATTAAAGATTACTTGGTCCTTCATCTCCACAACGTTTCTAGAACCCTAGTTAACTTATCTTTTGTCCTCGACCAAAATCTGGTACAATATTCTTGAATATTAGCGCACAAAAGAACGAACAAATTGCAAAATTCTCTAGACGAAGAGCGGGATTACTTTCTAATCTTTTACTCCGCTTGATACTAAGGAAAATTACTAATCATTTATCTTAGAAATACTAACAACTCTTCTAAGGATCAAATTTTCTCACCAATGTAACCGCGTTCTTTCCCTTTTAGCTTTTGTTCGATATGATGAAGAAAACCAAAACTAACATAACAGCGTATAGTGGAGCATCCGGCCTTTTTAACTGTACTTAATAAATTGACATCGACCATGGCACGGTAGCAAGAATCGGATTCCTTACTGCAAACTTTTTTGCTTGTACCAACTGTTTGACCACGAATAATTGAAAAACCCGTGTAGCATTCAAGTGAATTGACTACATTCCATGGCAGTGATGTATGTAACATCAAAAAGGTTACTATTATTAGCATTACGTATAACGCACAAACAAATAATCGCTTATTTTCGATAATTTCTGAAAAATAGATTCATGTGATTAAAAGCAAAATACTGAAACAAGGTTGTCATCTTTGATATTTTGATTTGACAAAGTAAGTCAGTACCTCTCTTTGGTTGTTTATAATAGAAAGTGAAATTTGACTAACATTGAGAGATTTGAGAAGGAAGGAATATCAGTAAATAATTTTAGAAAAGTCTGATCATAGTTAAATGATGAAGTAAACAAATGCACCAAACGATCGATAAAATAAGGAGAAATAGAGAAGAAATGCCGAAGCGAAAGATATATATTGAAATTATTTTCTTCAAAAATAAGGGAAATCTTCCAGAAATTTCAACTGGGTACGTGTAGTGGCATTTAAAGAAGTAAGAAGAAAGTAACAAAATTCTTACATTACTGCACAAGTTTGCAAAATTTGTAATTCATAGATTATTAACAGCAATATGAAACATATAGAGAAAACAGAATAAACATGGAATTAGTCATCAATGAGTTATCACCAAACAATCGTTTTTCTCCTCATTAAACTTTAATTGTCAATCATTTCATTTTATTGCAAGTGATTTACTAATATTTAAATACCAATTAAATTTATTAGTTATATTCTTTTATTCAACTTCATTTGCTTCTCTTCTTTCTTACAGGTATAAATTCTTAGATTTTGTAAATAATCTAATTCCCTAAATAAAAAAGAAGTATCAAAATGATAGACAGCAAACGAAAATATCAGTATTGAAATGATGATCACTGAACAACATGCATGTATGTACCTGCAACTATGTGCAGCTATTCCAGACTGTCTCATCTTTCGATTGAAATAAATTTTTCAGCAAAATAATCGTTGAAGGGAATAGTACCAATGCATACGCATATATATATATA